GAACCTTTTAATTATTTTCAGCTCTAATTTACTCAAAAAATACAAGTTACTTGTAAAATATTATAAGTAATATCTTACTATATCCCCTTTCTTTGAGATAAAAACAATTCAAAATATATAAGAAGCTAATTAATTTACTCAAGGGCTCAATTAAAAAACTGAAAGCTCAACTCCATGAAAACCTGAACTACAGGCGTATTCCTGATTGGAGGTATTGAAATTGGGATGGACAGAAATATAAAGATAGTGGATTACACTAAATATTATAAATAAATGTTTGATTAGTATGTTGATTTAATTGTGTTTTTAATGTGCTTTTATGTACTTAATCTTAAAGTAGTTTTAACATAAAAAGGTTCATTATTTTTCATTGATTTATGTTGTTCACACCGTTTTCTGTTTAGATAATTTAGTAATAAATAACTATTAATATATTCATGTCAATGTTGATTTTGTTGAAAACGGTAGGTGAAAAGTTCGTAAAAATAAATATATATAACTTTAAAATCAGATTTTACATCCCTCGTCCCTTCTGATGAAAATCCATTTAACCCTACGAACTGTCTTAATTCTAAATAATATCATAACAAAACCAGAAATAGTACTGTCCTAGTTAGCCATACGGTTATGTTGCTCTGAAGCCGAAGCTGAATCATTGTAGCCACTCCGGAGCATGAGCCAGCAAATCTATAACACTGCTAACCTTTCCCTGGGATAGTGGTTAAGGGCGTAGCCGGAAGAACGGCTGATAGCCTTGTCACTGCAGATACCATGTTAACATTCTAAGACGTAAAAATATCTACTTTTTTAGAACCTCTTCTCCTAACCATGTTAAGGTTGTGGATAAAGTGAACTAGGTAACGGTGGTTTGGTTATCTTCCTGGGCTGTGATACTTTAGACATTCCTGAATCGGTATCCTGAGCTCGCACAACAAAGGCTTAGATTCACTCTAAAATAAATGACTAGGCTGTTGTAACATTCTTGAAGTTACTGGAACCAAGAGTGAGTCTTCATCATAAAGTAGAGAAATATTCCTTTGCATTGGCACACTGGTAAGGCAGGATTAACACGATAGCCACTTTTCAAGACTCAGAGCTTTTTGTAGTAAAAGTCTGAAATGTAAAAAAGAAGAAAAAAACTCCAAGGCAACTCAGCCTCTTATAGGTCAGAAGTTCAGTTAGCAAAGAATAAAAGCAAAATGCCACAGACAGTCGGGTCATGACATGATTTTTTCTAATCCACGTGTAGTATTTGTGCCGCTCCTTAAAATATGAATGGCGAATACTCTCACCTCTCTATTTCAATAATGCAGTGCCCAAGAACCTGCAGAAACCTAATCCACTAGGGTTACGAGATAATACACATATATAACTATGTTAGCCAAACACTTCATTGCACCGTGTACCTGACAAGAGCCTCAATCATCTAACAGCCAATCAGCCATCTCACCATACACGTGAATGTCTTCCACCGTTATCTAGTTACTAAAGCAGAGATCCAGTTCAAAAGATGAAGGGATATGAGAGTTGCAAACTGTATCTTTTCATAAATTATTGAAATTCAGTTATCTACGTTACAAGCTGTGATCAATATGTCTAACTTTGGCGATTTCATGACTTGTTTTTCACAACACCAACTCGCCTTCTCTCAGGTTCTGACAAATTTCAGTGTAATTCCAAAAATAAGTAAATATTTTGCTTGGTTTCACCATTAAATTCAGGGTTATGTTTACGTGGTTAAAATACCACAACAAATGTAATTAACACAAAATACGTGCACAATACCTACCTTTGATGAATTCAAATTCGATGACGAGGAACCCACTTTGAGACTAATAATGGCTGGAGACGGCTTAAATGGGTAAT